GGCCTGGTGGTTTGGGATTCCCTTTCAGGTTTAGGCAAAGCGCCTTGTGCAGCCATGTCATTGCTTTGCACTCAGAGCCTTATCATTGCAGGCTTGGCTAATCTGGATGCTGATCACAACTACTGCATGGCCATCTCATCTAGACTAACATCCAAGAGGAAAAAACATCCGCTGGCTTGTGTTGCTTGATGACCTGCCAGTGCCACGCGATCAGGCGATCCAAAGTTAACCTTGTCGGACAGCGTAATTCAGGGTTTGAGCTGTTTACGGCTTGAAGCCCGAAAGCCGGCCTGTGACCATATGCTTCGCCTGGATTGTCCGAGTGTGAGCGCCGAAATCCCAACCTCAGAGCCTATGGCGGCAAGAGCAACGAGCGACAAATCCCAACCCCAAGCTTTTCGCCCTCAGATTGCAAAGCCAACCCTCTGCCCTAAACCCTCCCTAAACCCTAACCCTCCCTAAACCCTGTACAGTCTCACTCAACAGACCTCGAACCGCATGCCTCGCCGGAGGCTTGGAGCAGGCACGCGATCAAAAGCCAGGGGCCCAGGCGGCAACGTGGGGTTAAAATTTCAAGTCTAATCCATAAGTTAGGGTTGTGAGCTGTGAAGCGCTGGGCTGCAAGAGTAGTGCTGATGACTTTTGAAACAGTTCCTGCCTGTGGCAATTCTTGCAGCGAAGGCCTGAGACCTGAGTTCGGTCTTCGGATATTGGATGTTGGGTTAGGGCTGGTTGAGTTGTGGAGCTGTCGATTTTTGTCGGTCGCATGGTGCTTGGGACCCAGCCAAGCACTTAATATAGGGCCGTAATAATTTCAATAGGGTTTTGGGCCCAATTATACTATAGTTGCAATAAGGGACCCCCAAAATATACTATAGTTATAACAAGGAACCCCCCCAAAATAGTATTGGTGATTATTTAGGCCGCTGTATTAGGTCTCTTGGGCCCCAGGCCTCGACGATGCCTTTGCTGCCTGGTGACGCAGGGCCTCGTTTCGGGACTCTGGTTAGACCAGTTGGCCTTAGCCCCTCTTCGAGCAATGGTAATGATGGTCCCGCTAGTCTTAGCAAGAACGATATCCACAGCGAGATTGTATCCAACATCTAATGGCACTGGATACGACAGCAAGTAGGCCGCACACGTTGGCCATCAAGCTCGGTGCTGGGTCGTTCCAAAGCCAGTTAGCACAGCAAGTGTGGGCCGGTTTGACGCATTAAGGCTCCAGTACGTTATTGGACGTCTGTCAGCGTCATTCCGTCTTTTAGTGTAGGCTCGCTCCTCTTGAGCGTTTTGGGAGGGGCCTAGGTGCCATGGCGTCCTGATATGTGGACGTGTGCCGGGAAATTCTGGAAAGTTCGGGAGGTGCCTGAGACTACACGAGGGAGGAGTTTCACTTTAATCTCCAAGCCCCATGGTATGGTACTTCTCGTAGATCTCGCCTTTGTTGGTCAAAGGACTTTGGGTTCTCGGGAGAGTCGTGAAGATTGGTTTCAGGTGCCAGCCGACTGCGTAGGAGACTCCATGGCTTTAAAGCCTTGGGCGCTGAAAACAGCGCAGCTGCAAGAGTGGGAGGGCCCCTGATCTCGAGGATTATGTCATTAAAGAGAATACCACAGAACTAGACATTCGGATAAACATGGCTGGTCATTGAAACGCAGAGGCAGTAGAAACAAGAGTTACAACAACAGGCAGGCAGCTCACGGAACAAAAGCAACACATAGACAGACATGCTTGTATTATTAGTCGTAGAGATCGTCAGAAGAATGACCATACGAGTATTCGGCATGTTGTTAGTATTGGCAGCAGTTGATTCGGACTTCCCTGTGTGAACGGCTTATGACGTGAGCTTACCTAGAGATGTTCAGGAACCCTAGCTCACTACCGGCCTACTACGGGCTCAGACTCGTTCTATGGTTCATGCATGTTGTTGACGGCATGGGGGGGATTCGGAGTTAAAGCGGCAGAAAGGAGTTCTGTGTTGAGGATACGAGCTAGAGCCTAAACCTTGGCTTGGACCTTCAGACATACATCACCTCATAGTATAGCAATATAGCAACATGGTAACATTACATAATATACATACATATATACATATATATATATATATATATATATATGTGTATATATATATATATATATGTATATATGTATATATATATATATGTATATACATACTTTTTTATAAGAGTAGTATAAGATCATCAACAGATACTATAGCATGTTATGCTGCTTGCAGCAACGGACAGCGGCCGAAGAGGTCGCACGGAAATGGATCGTAGAAGTGCTTGCGTCTCAAAGCCTGCACCCCTTCCATGCTTCAAACTCTACCCCAGGCCTATGAGCTGTTGCAACCTAGCCCCATGTCAAGCTTCATACAACTAAAGCTGAGCAGCAGGATGTGAGTCACACATCACCTTACAATAGGGTTCATCAAACTCTGTTCTATTGTATTCTACTGTATTCTATTCTATTCTCCTCTGTTCTATGCTATGCTATCCTATCCCATCCTATCCTATCCTATTCTATTCTATCCTATTCTATTCTACTCTATTCGGAAAGAAGGGGCCAGGCTTTTGAGAAGCAGCTCGGGAGCCTGAGCCTAGCATGAGGAGCCGGGAGCAGCTGGGCCCCAAACCAGTTCTAGGACGGCATAAGAGCGACTGTTTAGGGTTTAGGGTTTAGGGTTTAGGGCGACTGATGCATGTGAGCTTTGAGCCGAACCCAAGAGATCCGGCTCCTCCTACTCGGCGGGTCCCGGAGCTGTCCTAGCGGGGGTGTCGGAAGGATCAGATGTGCAGGAGAGGGCGGATGACAGAGGCTTTTTGACCGCTCAGAGGGCGGCTTCCGAGATTGGGGGTTCGGGTTGAGATGCAGGGTTCTGCCAAGGCAGAGGCTGCGAATTTGACGCTTGCTGAAAGGCACTTCTCCGATTCCCCCTTGCAGGAAGACAGCTGCAAAAGCCAAAAATTATGTTTAGTGGCTGTTTCCACAGCTACCGCTACCCCTGCCGTGAAGACAAAAGAGGCAGTGCAATGCGTGAAGCAGCACAAGCCCACGTGAGTGTGCGGCAGTTACATTTGTCAGGGTTCGAGTCGGAACCCGTTGGAGGGTGGGCGCTTGTAACTCCGAGGCCGGCTGTAAGACCTCGACCCATGTAAGCCCCGAAACCCTAACCCCCGAAACCCGAGCACCGGAAGATGGGAGCCTGAAGCCCAGGACATTTGCCAAGTTCCCTCGCCCGGCACCCCGGGCGCAGTCGCGCATTCCCCGGTCCGCGCCGGGAGCCCTGGAAGAGGGATTCGGGTTTAGGGGAGCCTTTGAAGAGGTGTAGAAGATTTTCAGTGTTGGCGAAGCCGGAAAACCGGTCTCCCTCCGGGTGTGTGAAGTTCCGTGCAGCTCCACTCAGCTCTGCAGATCCACTCTAAGGATCTAGGCGATGTCGCGTTATAGTCTATATGCTGGGGTGGGCTGTCGGAACTGTTAAGTTTTGGCTTCTGTTTCCTGGAAGGTTCGTTGCGGATGGTGCAGGAAGATGAGTACAATCACCACGTGAGTTTGGAGTGGGTTAGGGAAAACTCTAGGCTGGGGTAGATGAATCTAAATGCTGTCACCTGTCGTAGCTACAGCAGTTGGCTGCTAAGCCCTGCGCCCACCCTACGCTCAAGGCACACATCGCTCAGCAAACATTGTTGCCGACCGTCAATCACTAATTGAGCCGCCCCCGTGTTGTCATGTGACAGCCCCCCCGGCGGTTCAACAACAGTGCCGTGAGAGCTTTACACTTGCACGGTTGGTAAACCCGACGGTTCAACCCTCGCAATGCGTGCAACTGGGCGCGGAACAAACCAGTGTGGCCACGCGGAATGGCTCACTCAGATCTTGGAATTTCTCGCAAAGGAAACCACACTGCTCATCACTCATCGTGCAACTCTGTTCATGAGCGAGCTGCCAAGCACTGGTCATCCAAACCTCATTTTGTCTGCATTGTTTGGGTACATGCTCCGAGTAGCAGGGATCTCCACGAGACCTTTATCGGAACAGCAGCGGGCAGAAGCGATATTTGCTACGAGCTCTCGAAACGGCACCGGATCCATCACAAAAGTCACCAATCCAGCATTTTGTGCGAACTGAGAGACCTCACCTGGCGAGTCCGAGTGCGACAGCGTAAACCTTTGCTCGACTCCTGCACTTTGTGGTTTTACCTTCTGTTGCCTTGTTTTATGTTGAGGGTCGAGCGAAGCCTGTAGTCTGACTGTGCGCACCAAGAACCTCGTCTGGCATGTCCGAGTTGCGAGAGCGTAAACCAGCGAGAGTCCGAGTTGCGGGAGCCGAATCCGCAAACCGAGATATGAGAGTTTGAGAAAATTAGATACCTTATTTGGGGTCCATTATAATAAGGATCCTACTATGTAGGGTGCCATATAAGGGTCCCCAATTTTCGGAAACTCCCATATTCTGTTTCAGAGCCCTCGCTTGGGAGCTTCGGAGCTATGACAAAGCGAAGCTTTGTCCCAGGCCGGTGAAGCCGGAGCCGGAGAAGCCTGCGGCCCAAAAACCACAGGCCAGGATCTGAAAAACTGCCTCCTGGATCAGGGTTTAGGATTTCAGGTACAGGCGCTGCACCGCTGCAGACCGGATGCAAACAAGGATTTCAGGCAGGACTGAGACCTTGTTCAAAAAAGGATTTCAGGAACGGAGGGCTTCAATGAATTAGAATAGGTGTACTCTGAGTGTTTTCTAGATGGAGTGTCCGGCGTTTTAGGTTGAAACGAAGCCAAAAGCCGGAGAGAGTGTTACAACGAGGCTAAGCTAAAAGACAGTTTATAGGCCAAGAACAAGAAAAAAGTAGTTATAATGCAAAATGACAGATCTTGCGAATAGTCGTGAGCAGACTCAAGGTAGCATGTAACGCCAATGCAAGTTACCCTGCTTGTGGCTACCTTGACGACGATGATGCCGACGTTGCAGAAGAAAACGACAACAGTGGCAACGCCGAAAAC